AGCCTCATACTTGGAGAAAAATTGCAAAAAGAAGTTTTAAATAAGTTGAAAAAAAATCCATTTGGTAAATGTACTAATTGTTTTGATTTCGTGAAGGCCAAAAAACCAAAGTTCTGACACCGAATTCCACGGTCGCTTACTTCGGTTTACTCAAAGTACAGTAATTGCTCCTCAAACACCTAAAAACAGAAAAAATTGCGAAACCAAGAAAAATGGCAACATTAGGTGTGAAGGAATAAATTCTCGCCGTTTGTTCTACGGTAGAGAAGTTTTTGGATTGATGAGTTTCGGCGCAAAAACAGGCGCCCCCGCAAGGCCGTTCGAAAGAGAAAAGGGATACAAAATGGCGATTTCTCGAATTTTTATGAAGTAGAGATGAGAAAATAAGGAAAAGCTGCCAAGCCTCTATAGCTTTTCAAAGTTCGTTTGTACTTTCAATTTTTGGCAAAGGCCATTCATAGAAAAAGAGAAAATTATGGCCTATAAGTACTCATTAAAAGGAGGTTAACTCGTTTTTTTCAGCAGAATATGAGCCTATCGGTTACAATGGGATCTATTTTTATGGAAACTTTTAAGCTTTCTTGTGGAAACCAAGAATCAGAAGTTACTTTTGAGTTCTCAAAAGGTTGTAATCATTTTTAATAAAGCTTGAAATGACAAGAAAAGGTTTTGGGTGACCAGTTGAGGTTCTGGGAAAATTTGCAGAAATGTATTTTGGAGTCCTCTGAGACGAAAAAAAGCCTATTTCTCCATTTAACCTTTTAGAAAAATTGTAAAATCTTGAATATTCCCATCCACAGCTCAAAAACTTCACAAGTTTTTTACCTGCCCAGAAATCAGAAACGCGAAAATTTAACATCGCAATCTGAAATTAGAAGACCGCAGATACAACTTTTGACAAGCTTTAATGAATTTCGAACAGTCATATAACGTCATTTTTCAACGCGAAAAGCTGAGTGAGCGCTTTCAAAATTATTATCGAACTCCAATCATTATGAGAATAAATCCAAAAATCACCAAATATCGTCAAGAAGAAGTCGAAAATGCCAATTAGGAGACGCAGATGCGTGACAAAAGAGATTAAGGGAGCCCAGCTGAAAAGGATTTTCTGACCTGCCCTCTGTAATTAAGCGAGGAGAGGCCCATTTGTGGACTTGGCCGGATTTATATTGGCCTTCAAAGCTTTGGGGTGGAGCTAACCGTGACAAAAGCTCATCAGAGCGCGAAAAAACGCCGTATTCGAGAAAAAAAACTGGGTTTTCAGTCTGAGAACGCCCTCTTTTAGAGGGAATTGGAAAGTTGATTTAAGGAAGAATGAATTCTTAGAGTTTCACAAGATACGGTCAAATGGAAGGCTTTTTTTTCGGTTCCTGTGAGCTTAATTTTTCAATTTTACTGTATTTTCTAAACCGCTCCTGACAAGACAGGTAATTTTACTTTGCGGTTTCTAAAAATTTGCTCCAACACTCTCTGAAGGTTCAGATGAAGATCCCTTATTATCGCTACCTGCACAAACTTCCAGTTTTTGAGATATGATTTTTCAAAGTTTCAAAAAATGGGTTTTAGGCCAAACTCACCTTAAAAATCAATTATCTCGAAAAAGTAGATTTTTGGCACGGGTTGCAAATTTAAGGATCTTTCTAAAAACCTTCAAAGAGTGTTTTAGCGAATTTGTATTAAATTCCAAACCGCAAAGTAAAAATGACTTTTTCGTGTGAGAGGAAAAATAAATACAAAGGCAGAAAAAAATTCACTTTCTCAATTAAACGAATAAATTGAAAAACTTGAATTTTTTTTAATATGTGGAGACCCCAAAAATGAAGTCCCAAATTTAATTTTACTGGCAGTTTTTTGCGATTCCACGGTGTTTAAAGACCTGGAAACTTGTTATGATCCTTCAACCTAATCAGAATTGATTTTTTATTCATTTTGCTACAAAAATCGGAAAAAAAACTATTCAAAAACGTTCAAAAACAGCTCGAATCACAAACCACAAACTCAACAAAAAAATACGGTAAAGAAAAACGTGAACAGGTGACTTTGCCACAGCTCTGCAAACATTCTGAAACATGAACTTTGGAGCGAATTTTCAGTGTCCAACCTTGTTGAAACTACTTTTCTATGAAAAACACACTACTTCAAGTACTTCGGACACCAAACCCACCACTCGAAGCTTTTTTTGCAGTTTTCTCGCGAATACGGTTCTTAGCCTTGGCCCTTTCAACTCGGATGCATCAATCATTTCGGCCTAGCCGCTGAATATGTCACCTTATAAAACAACGGATGTGCGCCTGAAAAACGGCCTCTCAGACCGGTTTCGTTCGCAACAATGCTTTTTTTGTTGGAAGAAGATAGTTGAGGTTTTTTTTTCTTTTTCGTGAGGTTACGGTGGTCAAGGGCCGTTCCAACAAAACATACTCTTCTGACAGAGAAGGTCACTGAGCCTTTTAATTTCGGAACCTCTGTGAAAATCGGCTGAAGAACTCTTCGACGAGCTAGGAAAAATTTTTATAAAGTTTTGTTTTGATAACACTTTTTTTGAATGTTCAGAAATAAGTTAGCTGGCCGAAAAATTGTTATAGAGCAATTGTTTTGAGTGATTGTTTTCCGAAATTTGAAGTTCAGGCAGTTTTGCAATGAAAATCTTCATTTGAACAGCAACCTTGCAGTGAAATTGCTCAGTTCGATAAAGCCGATTCATTCCAAGCCTTGAAGTTTCTCGACAAGAAGGTTTTTTTAAGAAAAAAATGTGAAAAAAATCAGCTAAATTTTGTAGTTTCATCCAAAAAAATCAGAAATTGAAAAACTTTTTTTCACATCGACCAGACAAAAATAATATTTATTTATTTTTTTGTTAGGGATAAAAAAATTGTTCAAAATTGCAAAAATAAAAAAGAAATGAACCTTTATAAAGGCCAGAAAAAAACTTCTTCAAAAAATTTTTTTTCAAAAGAATCGGAATCGTTCCAGATCTTTTTCTTTACGAAAGATAGTTGTTCTGTTGAAGGGACGTATTCCTCTTTTTTTTCTTGACGAAAAGTACAGTAATCAGTGACACAGATAAGGTTTCATATCTTTGCAGAAAACCCCCGTTTGATGATAAATGAGCAAAACTGAAAGCCTCTCGATGAAAACTGGACCATTCGAGAACACTTTCTTTGACTAGAAAAAAGAGATTCGAGATCCGTTGGCTGTTGAGAAAGCATTTTGCAAAGTTTTTCGTGAGCTACGGTATGCAGCGATTTAGATAAGATTTTCACAGTGTCAAGAAAGTGAAATCAGCTGTTTTCCGTCGGAAATGGGCCGTTTCGGATTATTTCCCGTCTTGAAAAGATAATTCGTAATTTTTTTTCTGTGAGTAGAAGCCTTAGGACCATTGGTAAAAGTTTTCAAGGAAAAATAGTTTTTTTGAAAATGCTCCGTTGACATGAAGTGTATTGGTCAACTTTTATGAAAAAATAACAATGAAAAAAAAACAAGAAACGGTAAGATTCATTCACTTTCTCCCTTTTTTCGTGAAAGAAACGGTTTGAAACCCGTTGGCGAAGGTCATTACATAGTAAAAGAGTCCATGATGCCGTTTAATGCTATTTAAGAGTCAATAAAATCGGCGTTGTTTTGAACATGGAAATACAGGAAACGAAAATAAGTAAAAAAAGGTCATTTGGATATTAGAAAAAAATATTACGACTTTAATAGGCCTCAAAAAAAGTTTAAAACTGATTTATCTGATGATCGGCTGCTTAAGAACTCTTTTTTGACCTTCAGAATATGAAGGAAAAAAACTTGACGAAAAAGGGCGTAGAAATGAAAAATGGCTGTTTTTTGCAAAAAAATGTTGCGAACCGAGAGGCACTGCCTTTGACAAAAAACTTTGTCATCAATTTTTTTTGACCTTCAATAACAAGAAAAAAAAAACTCTTTGGTAAAAAACGAACAGATAGAAAAGTCGCACCTGCTCTTTCAGTTATCTTAAACATTCCATTTGAAATGAAAAGGCCTTTGGAAAAAATGCAGTTTGAAGAAAAATTAATCAAGTCGGAAGTGGCGTCACCCCTAATTTTGGGCAAAAAACGGTCTTCTCATGAAAATACAAGTTTCAAGGCCAGGCTCATTTATCTTTCGCGCCGCGTGCCGCTGAAAAACGGCAACTTTTAGGGTAATCTTCAAAGGCTTGAACTTGAGATGCGTGGTGCAAAAACGATTTATAATCTACGATTCGTATCGGCCAGGAGAAGTGGCTAAGGAAAAGTTGATTTCTGTTGCAGATAGGCAGCTTCGGGACCGTTTTCCCACTGCTGCCCCTAATTCAATTGAAGTCGCACGAAGGACGCCGTTTCTGTCGATGGAAAGTGAGAAAAAGGCCGTGAAAATGTTTTTGATGTAGAGCTGTCTTTCAGGAGATCTTGGGATCGGAGAGAGTTTGGATTCTGTTTGAGACAAGAATAGAAAATTCGGAATTGAGACATGAATCAGAGGGGATATCCGGCGCTTATTCTTACAAGCTTCTTGAGATTGGGATGAAGAAAAATCCTCAATTCGTTCTCAATGAATTATTATTCTGGTTTCGAAGAAAAACCGGAGTGAAAAAAAAGGTTTTTTTAGCTTTCAAGTTCGTTTAACCTGCTTGGTGACAGTCAAAAAAGTCAAGTTAGCGACAAAACTCGCTGCATTGTTCTCACAATTCTGGTCAAGTTGCTCAATCTATTTTGAAGTTGAAAGTTTTTCTCATCAGTTGGGTTTAAAAGGTTAAATCTTTCTTTTTCCTTCTTTCAGGCTGTTTGATAAAGTCAAAGTATATCAGGAAGAGTGTAAAGAGCAGGAAGAAAAAATCTATTGAACAAAAGTACATTTTATGGTAGCTTTTCACCTGTCGTGTTGATAAAAATTAAATTTATCTCAAAAAATAAAAATGAACTTCGCAGGAAAAGGCAAGAGATCTCAGGGAATTCCAACAAAAACAACGGGTGAAACAAAAAAATAGGAAGATGAATTCCTTTTCATGGAATCGATCGATAATCGTTGACTTTTCCAAAAATGGGTTCATTTTGGAATCCTTCAGAAGGCAAGATGTACATTGGATGATTGAACCCGCGGAGGACCAATTCGATCTGAAATTAAATAAATTTTCCAGGTTTCCGATCATTTATGAAACAATATTATTAGAACGCAGTAAAGAAAGGAACTAAAAAAATATGAAAAAAAGCAAGAGATTGCAAAATTATAAAAGAGAAATTAAGATAATGAAAAAAATTAGTGATCGTGAGCCCCATTTTTGAAATTAATACGAAAAAAGTCTCATATTAATTAAAAAATACAAAAAAGATTCAGAATGCTGGGATAGTTTTAAAAAAAAAAAAACTGGTAGCTGGACGTTCTCTTGTAAGTTGAAAACTTCATGAATTTTTTTACAGGAGTTAGACTGTAAATCTTACAAAAACCGGTGACCAAACAAATTTGAAGTTTGGGAAATAAATACTTTTTACTTAAAGTCTACAAATCAAAAATTTTAATTAAAAAAATCAAACTACACACTTTTCACATATTCTTCAAAATTTTGATTCGAAGAAAGTGTAATCCGAGAACCGAGGTCAACGGAACATTGCAAAAATAGGCGTTTTACTTCTGGCAAGCAAGCACGTGGGAGAATCAGGCGTAAATATTTGCTCAGGCCGAAAAAAAGTCGATGAGGATTGGGCACCAAAAGAAACCTTTTTGAAACTGCAGGATTTTGATCGTTTCAAAATAAAAAGCTTTTGTGAGTTCGAAGAAGCGGAAAACTCGGCGCGGTTCTTGGCACGAGTTCAATTTTTGCGCCACCGACTATCTGGAAAGCCCGGTTACCGCTCTTTGTATCTATTCCACTATTTTCTAATCCAAATATGAAAAAATTCAAGAACTAATTAAAAAATGAATGAAAAGAGCGATAATCGAGATTTTCAAATAATCGCTGGCGGTTGAATTGAACTCGTGCCAAGAACCGCGTACGCACACGCTACGCGTCCCGCCCTCTTCCCCGCCTCCCTCGCCTTTTAATTGCGGGAAAATTGACCATAGCGGTAGATGAAGTTTCCATGAATCGGAAAAAATGAAGTAAAAGCGCAAAAAGTAGGGAAAAAAACAGGCTTTGGACTTTGATATTGTTCATAATTCGATATAAATTATTTGAATCGATTTGATTTGATAGCTGAAACTATTCAATACTTTTTAAATTTTGACCAGGAACTACACGTTAGGTAGCTCTTTTTGAAAGAAAATATATCTCAAAGCAGTGATAACTTATTAGTTTCATCTTACTAACCATTCCCATCCCAATAGCGAAACCCAGAAGACCGCCTCCAGCAACGTCCACATAGCTAAAAACAAATAAAAAAGTGTTGTAAAATCTCGGAAGTCACACAAACCGATGTTTAAAGTCGCGGATACGCGAGAGACACACGTAAACGCTGAACACAAAGATTGCGAACTGAGCGTAGATTTTTACGACAACTGGGACTCGTGGACGGAGATGCAACAGGCTCTGAGCAAAGATTGCATTTGCACAAATTTCTCTACTTACAATCAGAAAAGTTGCGAAAAATATGGAATGGGCTGCATGTCCCGACGGGAAGGAAAAATGGAGATCTCTCCGAGATTCACCAGTACAGGTAAAGTTTTCGACCCAAGCGTTGGAGCCTGAAATGTTAAAAAGATTTTATTCGCTTGAAATTACGAGGAAAGATTTAGCAAAAAGACAAGAAAATCTTTCGGATGAGCTTGTTTTTACAAAATTTTCAGTCCACACTATATTAAGAAAAAAAAAGATTTCGTCTTGATCTTGATCTTGTCCCAAGGCAAAACTTCCCCTCCATGAATTGTCCCAATCTCGCGAGACCAAATCCTTAATCTTTCTAGACGTTTTTGAGAAAAAAATGACAACTTTTAGGATGGAATTGCGATTTTTCGAGCGTTTTTCTAGGATGATTTGGAGGTCTTAAAAAAATAAATAAATAAATAAAAAAATTGTTTGTCATGGTCTTGTCTCAAAGATTTTGAATAACCCTGTTTTGAGTCCCTTCACTCTACTTGAATCGAAAACTTGTAATAAGTTTCGTTTGATTCATTGCCTTTTTCATTATTCAATCCTCTTTTCTATAAAAGAATCTCACCAAGAGGACACAACTGATCAAGATGTTTCGGTTTGCAGACATCGATGAAATTCGGCCGAAGACGTGAGGAGGTGCTTTTGAAAACATTCAATGACACAGAAACTGATAAGACACTGCACAAGTAGATTGCTGAAAATTTCTGTCGTGGTTTTAGAATTTCAAAAAGCAGTTTATCCTTCCAATTCTGAAACCTATTTACAGAATGTTCAACTCACAGAAGAAAAATACGATATTCAGGAAACATTGATGCCACTGAACGGAAAAGTGTCGGCGTGTCCTCAGAAGAGATAATTCGGTCATTATTATCTAAACGTATGGTTCTTGAAATTAATGATTCATTTTGAATACTATCCAGCTTTGGATATTTTCACAAAATCTCGGATGTTTGAGCAACACTTCAATTGAAGGTAGAAAAAATGGATTTATAGGTTACCCAGGAAAATAACTGTGATAAGTATCGCAGTTAAGGCATTTTGGTCTGCACTGAACCGAAATATTACATAATCTAAAAGTTAGAATCTTGATTTGATTTGAAAAATTACATTCAAACAAAAAGTTTTGTTTCTATCTTCCTATCTCTTTTATCCGTCTTCATACCGTTCTTGGTCAAAAAAGACACTTCTTTATCTGATCTCACGACCTTTTTTGGTTATATGGGCTCAGCGAACAAGTCTTAACGCCAGGCTCGTGCGTCAGACAAGGCGGCCATTTTAGCTTCATGTCACCCTAAGGCCGCGCCGGGCTCGGAAAATGGCAGAGGGCCGATAACTGACGGGCTAGCCCTTGCACAAGCTTGCTCAACTCCTATGATTTCTGTAACTCTACTCGGATCTAGGTTATAATAACCGGACGTGCTCTGGACGCTTCTGAGCGGTCTTAGAGAGATCATTTAACACGCTGTCTCCGTTATTCTAAAAAATTTCTAAAAGCAACGGGTACAATAAAAAAAAATATGTTTTGATTTGGATGAAACTTCACCCAGTGTGATACCCCATCATCAGAAATGCGGACCCAACTTTTTGAGCCATTTCCTCTTACTGTAGCCGGGTTACGGTAGGCACCTGCGTATCTCAGTATTGAAGAGTTTTTACTAGGCGAGTGATATATCAATCGATAGGTAATCCAATTTCAAGAACTTTTACAGTACATACCATCTTGGGTTACGGTCGAAAAATTTTGAGTTACGGTACTTTTTGTGTCTGCCGAGTCAGTTTTTCGACCACCATGAGCTTGAGCCAGGAGATCCATTCTTCCTAACTTCTCAAAAGATACCTTATGAGAAGCTGTACAAGCTGGTACTAGTTTGAAAAAATCCTAGGTGGACCATCATTTCGTAAAATCGCCCCGAAGGCGCGCAATCGTGGTCTTGCGGCGGCCAAGTGGGTGAAGTCCATGATGCCGGACGGCTAATTTTTTTCACAGATCCATTCCAATCTTTGTTTCCATTTCACTCATAGATGTCTATTATTGATTTTTTTATTTCAATTTGAGATGTTTTCAGGGTTGACCATCATTTCGAAATTTCATTTTTGAACCCAAATTTGGCCTGAAATGGCCGACTCGGCCTTTTTCACGGGATCCCTGACCCCGTATGTGACCGTTCTCAACTTTTTTCTTTCTTAAACATGAACAAGAGTGCCTGAACAACAGTTTTATAACAATCGGAAACCCTTTTGAGAGGACCATCATCTCGAAATTTCATTTTGAACCCAAATTTGGCCTGAAATGGCCGACTCGGCCTTTTTCACGGGATCCCTGACCCCGTATGTGACCGTTCTCAACTTTTTTCTTTTTTAAACATGAACAAGAGTGTCTGAACAACAGTTTTAATAACAATCGGAAACCCTTTTGAGAGGACCATCATCTCGAAATTCCATTTTGAACCCAAATATCGGCTTAGTTTTTCCCATTTGAAGTTTTTATCATTTACAGCAAAAATCTAGTCTGCCAATTTATTTTCAAAACAGGTAATCAAAAATGAGAAATGGGAAATACCAAGAAATTTTTCTCATTAAAAAAAGAAAAACCCAACACTCTGACCACCGGTGAGGTTGGAAACTTAACTTTCAAGATGATGTTTTTATTAAATGTTTTTTTATTATAACCTAAATAGTAGTTCTGAAATCTTCAGAAATTTTTTTCATACCTAAAAAAACAAGACATTCGTCATGTGACTATTTTTGTGAAAAAATAACCAAAAAAAAATTGGGTTCAAAATGAAATTTCGAGATGATGGTCCTCTCAAAAGGGTTTCCGATTGTTATTAAAACTGTTGTTCAGACACTCTTGTTCATGTTTAAAAAAAGAAAAAAAGTTGAGAACGGTCACATACGGGGTCAGGGATCCCGTGAAAAAGGCCGAGTCGGCCATTTCAGGCCAAATTTGGGTTCAAAATGAAATTTCGAGATGATGGTCCTCTCAAAAAGGGTTTCCGATTGTTATAAAACTGTTGTTCAGACACTCTTGTTCATGTTTAAAAAAGAAAAAAAGTTGAGAACGGTCACATACGAAGTCAGGGATCCCGTGGAAAAAGCCATGTCGGCCCTTTTCAGGCCAAATTTGGGTTCAAAATGAAATTTCGAAATGATGGTCAACCCGAAAACATCTCAAATTGAAATAAAAATCAATACTAGACATCTATGAGTGAAATGGAAACAAAGATTGGAATGGATCTGTGAAAAATGAGCCGTCCGGCATCATGGACTTCACCCACTTGGCCGCCGCAAGACCACGATTGCGCGCCTTCGGGGCGATTTTACGAAATGATGGTCCACCTAGGATTTTTTCAAACTAGTACCAGCTTGTACAGCTTCTCATAAGGTATCTTTTGAGAAGTTAGGAAGAATGGATCTCCTGGCTCAAGCTCATGGTGGTCGAAAAACTGACTCGGCAGACACAAAAAGTACCGTAACTCAAAATTTTTCGACCGTAACCCAAGATGGTATGTACTGTAAAAGTTCTTGAAATTGGATTACCTATCGATTGATATATCACTCGCCTAGTAAAAACTCTTCAATACTGAGATACGCAGGTGCCCACCTGCCTACCGTAACCCGGCTACAGTAAGAGGAAATGGCTCAAAAAGTTGGGTCCGCATTTCTGATGATGGGGTATCACACTGGGTGAAGTTTCATCCAAATCAAAAAATATTTTTTTTTTATTGTACCCGTTGTTTTTGAGAATAACGGAGACAGCGTGTTAAGCCTCTCCTAGGCGGTCACACCTCAACACGTCAGATTCGCGTCTGTTTTGCGTTACCAATGTCCAAGCTAACCGGACATTTCCGATCGCTTCAAGTGATCACTTAAGAGTACTGACGCCGCTAAAGGGGCCTCCATAAACGCTCAGAAAAGTCCGTTTTGCGTTCGGTTTGCGTTACCGAAGTCCGATTTGTTACCACTCTTTTTGTTGTAACCTATGTACTTTTTTTTTGTTCAGAGGATCGCCGTGTTTTTTTTTTGTTAAAAATCATCAATTACTGGAAACTGAACCAACCGCTAGAACCGCAGTAACAGCGTAGATAAGGTGCATAACTTCGGACGAAACAGTGTCTTCTCTACTAGGATACCGTATTTCTGTGTCATCGCAGAAGAAACCCTGAAATTTTTACTTTTCTGTAGAATTTTTTCTGGCAAACGATTTTCAATAGCTTCTGCTCTTATGAAGGAGCATTTGGAGCCCTGATAAAAAATACCATTTTTTTTTCAAATTTCTAATCTAAAGAAGGACACATTTCATGAGAATCTTCAAAAAAACACATTTCCAACTTTTTCCAAGCTGCGTTCAATTTCCGCCTTTCACCGTAAATTGCTCTTAATGGACTTTATGAGATAACTAACCGTATCCGTGAATGGTATTTTCTTCGTGAGATACTTTGCAAACAACAGTAACGGGATTGATAAAATCACGGAGACTAGGCGTATCATGGCAAATTGGTGACAGTGCTACCGGGAAATTTTTGCTGAAAACAAAGGAGATTTTATTGAAATCACTTTAATGTGTGTTCTAAAAAAAAAGAACAAAAATCATTTGGAAAGAAAAAGAAACAAACAAATGTCTTTATTGAGAAAACAAGTTTAATCAGAAGAAAACACAAATAAAGAGATAAATTGATAACCAACATAGGTTGATCTGAATAAATATTTTTTGATTTGTTTTTATGCACTGAAAACAAATTTTGCGATGGAATCTGTTGGAATATCACGTCTCTCTAATAAATACTCTTATCTCTACGTGAGATGGGTATATAAGGCGGCCCTTTTACTTCTTTCACACTTCTTCATTCTACGAATAAACCTGCTCCTTCAACTTCGACTTTGGGCTACAGCGGACACAACAGTGGCGATCAGGATAGCAGCTGCATCGACTCCTCTGGACGACTACAGCTGAAGAACTCATCGTGCTCCGCTACGACAACAAAGCTTCGAAACGATGCCGTCACCAACGAGGCAGCAGACGCCAACGTACAACGACTTCATCGCCTTCATGCAGCAGATGCAGAAGGAGCAGCAGGACGCCCGGAAGGACCAACAAAACTTCCAGAAGAACATGGTCGACATGATCAAGACTCTGACAAGCAGCAACGTCTCCAGCCAAGCATCCAGCCCCTCAATCGACGTCTATGGTCTGCTGATGAACGAAATAGAATCGTTCAACTACGACGCTGACGGGACATCGACCTTCGACGACTGGTTCAAGCGACATGGCGTGACGATCAACGAACGTGGCAAATCGCTGACCAACGACGTCAAACGCAACCTCATCGTCAACAAGCTGGACAAGAAGGCCTACGACGTCTACTGCAAGCACATCCTGCCGAAGACCTACACCGACCTGACGCTCGACGAGACCACCGCCGTTCTCAAAAAGCTGTTTCGACCACTCAAGTCTCTCTGCAAAAGAAGATTCGAGTTCTACCAGAAAGCAGCCCCTCCGATGTCTTCATCTGCCGACCCGTTCCTGGACCTCGCTAACGACGTGAAGAACCACTACGCTGAAGCAGAAATCAAGAACATCGACGAGGACACCGCGCAGTGCATCGCCTTCGTCTCCGCTCTCGCTGACTCGTCATACGCCGAGATTCGTCTTCGTCTTCTGAACAAGATGAACGACATCAACGCCAAGCTGAAGCTCGACGACATCACCGAGGAATGCCGCACCTGGGCAAGGATTCGAGCCGAGAACCGATCGATGGACACGTTGGACGTCAAGGCCATCGCTCAAAAGAAGAAGAAGAATACGGGACAGCCGCAGAAGTACCAGCAACCTCATCAGCAGCAGTACAAGAAGCAGCACCCGTCACAAGAAGAAGAATCGCTTCACTCCTCCCGCCATCGTCAGAGGAATGGGTCAAGGTTCGGACGACGCTCGACCACGCCATCTGAACATCAACCTCGACGATTCGCCAAGAAAGTCGCATTTTCGGAAACCGAAGATGCGCGAACATACTTGAAAGTAGACATCAACGGCTTCACCACGGAACTTCAAGTCGACACTGGCGCCGATATCACCATGATCTCCCGCCAAACTTGGAACATCATCGGATCACCAGCTCTAAAACCGACGCCGCTCTCGCTCAAGACGGCTGATGGCTCGCCTATGACAGTTCAAGGACGCTTCAACGCGAAGTTCAACATCTTCGACGCTCGTCATCGTTCTACCACTGGCTCCGGACCATGCTACGTCACCGAGAAGACCGACTTGCTCGGACTGGATTGGCTCATCGCGATCCCGCAGTATCGACATCTTCGAAAGGAGCTGAGCTGCCGCATGACGACGACCTGCCTGAACCAGACCCGAGAAGAAACCGTCGCTCAACTTCGCCATAAGTACGCCTCCGTCTTCGAAGAAGGGCTCGGACGTTTCACCAAGACCAAGGCCAAACTGTTCCTGAAACCTGAAAGCCGACCCGTCTACATCAAGAAGCGACCACTCCCATACGCCTCTCAGCCTGCGATCGACGCCGAAATCGATCGATTCGTCAACGAAGGAGTCTTATCGTCAATCGACTACTCGCAGTGGGCTGCGCCGATCGTCGCCGTCAAGAAAGCCAACGGAACCATCCGAATGTGTGCTGACTTCTCGACTGGACTCAACGACGCGCTGATGTTGCACCAGCACCCGCTCCCAACCGCTGAAGACGTGTTCAACAAGCTGAACGGAGGACAGCTCTACACGCAGATCGACTTCGCTGACGCGTACCTCCAAATCGAGCTCGACGACAGCGCCAAAGAACTCTTGACAGTCAACACGCACCGAGGACTCTACCGGTACAACCGACTGCCCTTTGGAGTCAAGTCTGCGCCCGGCATCTTCCAAGAGGTCATCGACTCCATGATCTCTGGACTCAACGGCGTTGCTGCGTATCTCGACGACATCATCGTCACTGGCCGCAGTACCGACGAGCACCGCCGAAACTTGGAAGCCCTCTTCGACCGGATCCACAACTACGGCTTCCGCGTTCGCCTACCGAAGTGCAATTTCCTGATGCCCGAGATTCGGTACCTCGGACACATAATCGACAAGGACGGACGCCGGCCGGACCCCGAGAAGGTCCGCGCCATCACCAAGATGCCACCACCCAAGGACGTGCAACAGCTACGCTCGTTTCTTGGGATGATCACCTACTACGGAAACTTCATCGACAAGATGCGACAGATCCGCACACCTCTGGACGCTCTACTCAAGAAGGACACCCCATTCGAATGGTCACCCGAGTGCCAGGACGCCTTCAAGCGCGTGAAGGACGTTCTCACCTCGCCGCTCCTGCTCACACATTTCGACCCCACGTTGGACATCATCGTCGCGGCCGACGCCTCCGACTACGGAATTGGAGCAGTGATTCTACATCGCTATGCCGACGGCTCCGAGAAGGCAATCTGCCACGCCAGCCACAGCCTCACCGATGCAGAGAAGAAATACGCGCAAATCGAGAAAGAAGGACTACCGACTCGGGCACACGAAGTAGATCTCTGGACAAGTTCTACTTCGCTTGGGCAACGCGCTGTACGACGTCCTGGTCAACGACAACATCGTTCGCCGACACGCCAACCAGCTGCGCCGACGCGAAACCGACGACACGCCGACGCTCTGGGACGACTTCGACTGGCCGCAACCATCGTCACCGTCGCCATCGCAGTCATCATCGCCGTCGTCGCCGCCGCCGCCATCACAGAAGCTGCCACCTTCCGACAACGACGTTCCCGCCACTTTGAGACGCTCCGAACGCCATCATCAACCGCCGAAACGACTGAACATGGACCCCACTTTGAAGTCTTATGTTTAGTTTACCTGTATAAGATGATTTTCCCGCTTACCATCATCTTAGGGGGGAGGTGTTGGAATATCACGTCTCTCTAATAAATACTCTTATCTCTACGTGAGATGGGTATATAAGGCGGCCCTTTTACTTCTTTCACACTTCTTCATTCCACGAATAAACCTACTCCTTCAACTTCGCCTTTGGGCTACAGCGGACACAACAGAATCAAAAAAGGGTGTTTTTTACAATTTACTGTTTCACGAAGTTTTTACAGAAACTTGCACTTAGAAAACCTGAAATAGCTATTCCTTTCGTAACGATTTTTTTCTTTTTCATGTTTGAATCGGACTTTAACCCCTGAAATTTTTTTAAAAAAATAAATAGGAGTAGGCACAAAAAGAGCCAGAAAAGAGCTTCTTAACCGTGCCACGCGACTTATCAAGCGACACAAACAAAGAAAAGCGAGACGAATGAAGAAGGCATTTTCAAAAATGACAAGCCTTCGAATCAAAATTCAAATTTCTTATCAGTACAGAAGACAAAGTGTATTTTTTGTTATCATGTGCACTTCAGAGTTCCCGGCCGTTTTTCGTCGACGTTTTCTTATCTGTCTTGGTTCAGGAGTCTTTTCTCCCGGTCCAAGGTGCTGTACTTGATTAGAATCATCTGTCCATCTCACTGGCCGTTCTTTATTACGTTTTTGTCAAACAGATAAGTACTGAAAGAGAATTTGTGGAGAAAGAGCCAACCAAAGAAGGCAAATGAAAAAAGAGAAAAAAGAAGAAACGTGACTAAAATCAATTGTTTTTAGTGCTTTCTGTTGCTTCTCTCATAATGCTTTTTCAAGGATGAAAAAATAATATCAAACTTTTTTATCAGTCAGTGAGCCACATTTAAACTTTTTCTGGTTTGAAACTTCAAAAAACTCTACAATTGTTAACTTCCATGTGGCGGCAATCGAGTTTATTTTTCTCAGGTTTCAAAAATTCTTCCAAAACACGATCCTGCTCTCGTATTAAAAATAATGAGGTCAGAATAGTTTTAAAGTTTTTTTATTTTTTTCTTTATATTGATCGAAGAAACTCAAGAAAAAAAGTCAAATTTTGTACCATTTACGATTATTCATCGTTTTTTTCTACATGCAACATGGACGCTAAAATGAATTTACAATAATTATTATATTTATCGTAATCTCTAAGTTTTTTTAAGTTGTTGCAAGTCAAAAACCGGAACTTGCAGTGGGACTTTAAACTTGGCTGGGGTCTAAAGACTTTTTCAAAATATCATGTCATCTCCTTCATAGATTTCATTCCATTAGATCGCTTTTTCTTAGTCACTTTTTTCAAACTCCACGGTAACTCCATTCATTGACAAAACCGCGAAACCAGCTTCACAATACGATTCCGTTTTCTTTTGGCGACAACTTGATTAATAGCACGTGATAGTTAATCAGTTAGGCAGGCAAAAAGACGCCGACGAAGAAGACAATGAGCAGGAAGATGATGGAAGCGGACTTGAGAGCGCAGTTGCAGAACTCGATGTTGCTGCAGTAGCAGTTGACGTGTTTCCCTTTGGTGTTTGGCACCGTCTTGCATTCTAGAAAGATGATTCAAACTATCAGAGTTCAAAACAAGTGAAAGAACCTCCATTCCAGCCATCGAGAGGTGGGGTATTCGTGCATGAGTGAAGGATACCATTGGCTGAAATTCATCATTTCTTTGAATTCAATCAAAGTCTTTAGAAAGTTTTGAAGTTTTTGTATGTTCAAGGTTCCAGAAGGACCGAGTTCAGGATTCTCCTTTTGAAGCACACAAACTTTGAAGCTTCAAGGGAGGCTATCAAAAGTCAAGTTTTTGATATATCTTTGCAAATTTTTACTTCAATTTCCTACGAAATTTTAAAAAAACTCATCAATTTTAAGCTTTCGGTTTTTTTTTTCAAAAATTTATGCTCTATTTTCTCTGGAACAATATTTTTTTGGTTCTTCATTATTTTTTTATTTGTTTTTAACTTTCTTTCAAAGGTTTCCTACGCTGAAGATCAAATTTCGTTAAGTCTTCGTGTTTTTCATTCAGCTCAGGGCTTCTTAGGACTTTCATGAAGCTGCGAAACTCGTGCAAATTATGTAAAAACCGTTATTTTTAACCTTTTGCAGAGGCTTCTACGGTTATTTTTTCTTACTGCCCTTGAACATGAGAAAAAGTGCATTTTCATGCTTTTTCCCATTTCCTGTTCAAAACCCACATTCTGCGTCGGGACCTTTCGTACAATAGAAACCAGAGCAAATGGTAGAGTCCGTGCAGTAATTCTCGATTCCAGAAGCTCCAAGAGGAACCATGCAGTTGTAGCAGTTGATGGCGACTTGTGACAGGGCGAAGTCTGATAATATTTTATCAGTTAAATATTTTTTTCCAAATTTTCAGAAAGCTACTTGGAGAAGTGAGCTGCAAGTTTGATAGTTTATCTCGAAATTTTTTTGATTTAACAATGAAAAAAAGTTGCTCACTGTTTTGAAATAACGTGGGATCAGATAAATTAGATCAATTTGCGATTTTTTTCAATTGTTTTTCAAAGAAAGGTCAAAACTTCATACAATAAGCTAGACAAACTTCCTGAAGATGTCAAAGTGCGTCTTTATTGTAAGAAACTCGGTAGATTTTCAACTTGAGATTTGCAGAGTTTTGAACTGATCAGTTGATATTTTCAAGAATCTGAGCGATTTTCAAAATTTTCTTTTTTTCTGAGCAAGATTATATTTCTATGAGGTTAATTTTCTTCAAATTTAAAAGTCACTCGCAAAAGTAGCTTAAGAAATCACATTCACATACCGTAAACTGAAAATCAAGGCTTCTATAAATCTAATCCCGGTTTCACAAATACCTGTGAGTAGAATCGCCGTGCAGGCCGCGATCAAGGGCCAGGTCGAGAAGAATAGTACCTTCATCTCAGCTGCCAAACTGTTAACCTTGTCCCAGAAAACGCGGATGAAACTGAGCCGGATGAACGTTTTTTTCACAGTGGGTGGGCTCTCGTTGCCAGTGGCAGCCGCACGAAATCCGGATGAACGGCAATTTCCCGTCGTCTCTTCTTTTCTTTTTCCTCCTTTGCCATTTTTTTCAGAATCTGGTTGAAACCTCGTTGTTAGCGTCATGGAAACGACCATAGAAAAAAAATTATGCGTCGTGCACCAATTTATTTCCTGTGGGTTCGTTCCTTCCGTTTGATCTCACACATGCAAAAGCTACCGTATCCCGCAATTGGTTTATTTTTATCAAGGTTGAAATGGAAAAAAAAGTGCAAGGGATCATATTAGGGCACTTGGGCAGCTGTTTTTGAGATTAAAACCTCATTTCTGAATAATCCCATAATCTTTTTAATCCTTGAAGGTTCTCTTCACGTGAAACCGAGACCGTGTTTGTCTGGTAGTTTTTTTCTCCGTTCTCTTAATATTGGATTCTAGAAAGGCTATTCCCTGTATACATTTTCTATCGATAACTTTTTTCGAATTTTGATGGTCAGCGTATAGGTTGAGTCATCCAAGTTCTACAACTAATTGTGTGTTTTATCACCTTCAAAACATCAGAAATTTGTCAAATTTGAGCGCCCACGTGTGAAAAAAGAGCAGTTTTGCCTCTTCAGAATTGTTTCAAAAAAAAAACTCTGATCATCATTTCAAGCTTCTGGATAGAAAAAGACAGCTTTTTCGAAGAACTTTTTCTGTTTTTTTTTTTCGGTTTCATAATTGATCTTTCCTTCCGCAAATTTGACACAAATGGAAAAAATAGAACAACTGAAAAAAATTGCAAAAAAGTTTATAACAAAAACAGCAAGCGCTGTAACCATGAACTCCACAAAAATCGAGTTTTTCACCAGTTCGTTATTTTTATCTACTGCTTCGTTAAAGGTTTCGGAACAAATAACTAAAACTATCAAAGATTTTTCGGCCTAAATCCTTGATAGTTGAAGCTCAGTCGGACACTTGAAACTTTATATTCCAGGAAAAAAGCTCCTGAAAAGACTACGAATTTCGCACAGTACTCTTGCATTTAAGACTATGAGGGTTTAAAAGAGTTCAGTCAGCTTCCATTTTTGACAAAGCCACCGTTCATTGATTTTTCCGGCTATTTTTCGTGACAATTTATTTTTTTTTTCGCTTTGTGTAACTTCTACAAGCATTTCTATCAAATTTCTTCATTCATTCATTAGAAAAGTTTGCTAAAGTTTTACATACATGTAACAATACCTTGGTCAAGGGACCGAAAAGAACACAATTGAGATCAAAAGATAATGGGAGAAAAAAAAGTTGATTTACCCAAATATGGCATAAAACTCGCGTTGCGTCATTAGAAAATGACATAGAAATCGGTTGAAATGGTTTGATTCGTTCAGTCAATACACGGATGAAACTACAAACAGTCACCAGTAATTAAAATTTTCCTAAGTTCGGGAAGATCTATTGGATATCAGTGAGAAAAGGAAGTTTCTACCTCGCATCAAAGATCAGTGATTGGGAAGTTTTGGGATTTTGGATTTGGTGAAGCAGGAAAAAATTCAATGAAGGTTTTTTCCCTAACACGCTGATTTTGTGCTTCAGAGCGTTTTTTTAAAATGGGTCAAAGAAACGCACAAATCTGCAGAGAAAAAAGTTTTTTCAACTAGTCGTGATTGCCTAAATTTGAAGGTGAATGAACTAATAGGACAAAGTATACATTTCACAAAGCAAAATTGGAATTTCAAAATACACGAAAATCACAAGTTTAATATTCTCCCGTGGAGCTCAAAAGTCGCTGCTTTTCGAGTTCGTCCAGTTGGTCAGACTTTTCGTAGTCCCAGCTCTTCTCTTCTTTCTTGTTCTCTTCTTTGGCTGGACCTCCGTTGGTTGGCCGCCGCTCGCCGCCTCGCGTCGCCTTGTGAGAGAAGGCCCGGTTGGCTACCCACAGTGTACCGGTTGTGCGGCGTTCTTTCATCGACTCCCTGGAAATGAGGAAATTTTTGAACTGCTCCAAGAGGATCATATGAGCCCCTATGCAAGATGATTTTCTGAGTTTTGACATATTTTCGAAAATTTTTCCTGCTCAGCAGAGATTTTTTGAAAAAAAATTTGAATCTATAATTTGTATCAGATCATCAATATCGTTTATAGCGAAATCTTCGCGCTTTTAGAAATTCATTTCTACGTTAAAGTTGAATATAGTGAAGGTTATATTTGTTTTAAAACCTTTTTTAGTCAGTGTAACCTTCTTTTAAAATTTTCTGAAAAAATTAAGTGAAAAAAAAAAATTGTCGACAAACTTTTATTGGGTTATTCCTACCAACCGACTACAACAAAAAAGTCGAAGATATACGGTAACTTTCAGAAAAAATGTAGAATCAAACTCACGATTGGGCGTCAGGACAACGCTGCTGACGGAAAGAACGGCCATCACTTCCATAGATTTTCGTGGTGTTATTGACAGTTGTGAATGACGAAGGACCGCAATATGACAAATCCTGCAAGAATTTCGATACAACTTTTTTTTTTGAAAAACCAACCGAATCGGAGTTCCATCGCGACAATTTGTAAATGTACATGCCAAGTTGGGAAGAGAGCATTATGTTGCGACAGGATTTGCGGAATCGCTTGCCCCAAACGATGAAAACCTTAAAAAAGTATGAGTTGTCTTTCTGTCCAAGAATAGAGTTGATTTTGGCTTTTTGAGCCTGACTGCAATAAAAAAGGAAAGACAAAACAAACCCAAAAGTTGGAAGAGCAGTTGAGAACGATGAGGAAGTTACTGATGTCCACGAAAAGAGAAGCGAGTGGGGACCGCATGAAAGCGCTTTGGCCGACCAACTGCAGACATGTTTGTCATTTTGTGACAAAAAATGACTTTTTTTTTTGGAAAGCGTCTGGAGACTTCTGGATGGGTTCAAAGATTCGAAGCATATTATAAAAAAATAAAAGGATTGAGGGCTCCTTGCTTCATTTAACCTAAAGTTGTTCTACGTGGCAATACGATTATATTCAGGCTTCTGAGAAAATAAAATGTTCTGATCAGCTTTTTTTCATTTTTTTTTTCTTCCAGGAGAAAAGTCTTCTTCTTTTTCTTCAGGTTGCGGGTAGAAGAGTAAAGAATTTTAATGAAATCCAACATAATACTAATTTTCTATCCGAATTTCAAGATCCCATTTTATCAAATTTTTGTGCTTTTTAAACCCTCCTCATCCCAAAACTCACATGTTCCAACACATCGATGACTGTTGGCAAGATGTCAGAAACTAAGAACTTGGCGATGACCAGAACCAACATGATGTTTGATTTGTGCTCCTTTCTAAAACAAGCACCTATACGTGCCAATTTTCTTCCGGATAAAAACAAACCTCGACGTTTGGCATTTTTTATTTCGCGCGTCGATGTCCGCATTCGGGGCGCAGAGAGATTTCCTTTTGGCTATGGCAGATCTCAGGGCTGGAAATTTGGAAATCAGGTCTTCTTTTGAAATTTGGCGGGTACCAAGGGATATTCGAAGGGTCAGGCCAAAAAGCAGAAGACAAGGGCAAAGGGTCACGAAAAGCATGGCCAGTACGACGTGGTACACTGACCAGTAGATCTTGTTCTGAAAGCAGCAAAATTATAATTATCTTAAAAAAAGAAATTAATAACCTCGAAAAGCTCGGTCCGGTCGATGGTCGCCACGCAATGTCCGTCCTGGCACCAAGGTTCCACATGCACCTTAATTATTGAAAAAAATGTTTATTTTCTTCTGAACAAAAGGTATAATTACCTCGAAAAAGCGCGGAAGGGAGAAGAAAACAGCCATGATTGATACGCCGACCATCAATCGACGCACACGGCTGTAATTATATTTTTTTAATTTTCAAATAGACCATGTGAAACGGGAGAAGTTCAAAGTGAGAGACGCTACTAATCAGATAATTTTGTCAAAAAATCGAAAATTTTTTGATGAGGTTTTGTAGAAGATAGTTATACATCAGAAAAATTTGGTTTGAAACCTTCTGGATTAATTTTTGGGGTCTTGGTTCGATATCTTGGGTTTTGATAATAAGCTTAACTCTTATATCGAAATTTCAAAGTGCCCGACTTTTTTTAGTTTTACTACTTGCGCATAGCAAAGGAAAAACTTTTTTACATAGACTCTCAGAATCCGTATGAAGTAAAGAACACTTTTCCAATGACCAAAGACTTTTAAGTCGTTTCAGGTCTTTCCATTTTATTTCCAAAAATTTATTTCCATTTCAATAAATCGTACAAAGATCATCATAATCTTTGTACTGCGCTAGTCGCTATAAGTCGGCTGCAGCTCCGTTCCACAAATTATACACATATCTCATTTCCTGGTGGAGACACTGGATTAGTGGAATAACTTGTGAACAAAAAACGATTGCCTGCATTGGAGTGCTCTCAGATTGATACGGATGTGTGTATCTGGCAGTTTCCCTCTAATTTTAACCGAGATTTTTTCGTTTGCATTCACAAAGTATAGGATTTGTACTGGAAGCCATTTTCATTTTCTAAGCGTCCGAAGAGCACAAACATTTGTGAATATCTTATCGAAATAAAGTTGAAAATAACATTGAAATTGGATATTGCGTGGGTTGATAAAGAATTCTGGCGAAAGATGACAAACTTTCGGTGTTTTTTTTTTGTGGTCCGCTAAAGAGTAAAGTTTGAAGGTGAAGTGTTCCTTTTAATTGAATTTTTTTGAATAGTTTACTCTAAGGTTTCCTGATATGGAAATATCCACATATCTATTTGCCTCTAGTCGAGTTATTCACTTTTTAAAAGATCCTTGAAATTCCGAAAAATTCTAAAAATTTTTAAACCTTTTTTTCCCGATGGCCCGATGTTTGAGAGGTTGGCAAAGGGCCAAATATCGATCGATTGTCAAAGTAAGCACAATCCAAACGGATCCAGTATGGGTCGTGTTGGCGAATGTGTAGACATAAGGGTACAGATGAACGTAACTTCCTGAAATTTCACAGTTACCGTCAATTTCATGTCTTCGGAAAAAAGAAAAAGTTGAAAAAGGCCGTACAAGGAAAATTTAAGGTTTGAAAGCTCATCAGCGGTTTTTTTCAAAACGGGCCAGACTTAAAACGATTTTCGCGCGTGAGCAACAAAACAAGTTAGAACAAACTGCTGAATCTCAGCTTAGCTGTAGGTCTTTGAGCCATCCCAAATGCGACCAAGGTTTTTTACCCACGACTAAAAAAAGTACCTTGGGAGACCAAATGTCCGAAGAGAAGATTTGGAAGGGAGTACAGTAGAAAGGCGTTAGCGAGTAGAGCCGTTTGCCATAAGGTTAACGTTACCTGAAACATCAAACTCATATATTTTCGTCCACTAAGGAAATCCTGGGTTTTTAGGTTTTGAAAATTAGAACGGTTTCTTAAACGAACCCAAAAATGTTTTTTCGAATGGAACCCTCATTTCCAAGTTTTTTGTTGCCTCTTCAACTCATTTTCGCTCACCCCGATTAGCATGATTCCAGTTGACAAATGGGCCTACGGCTACTTTTAACCCAAAAATAACGGAATGGCGTGTTGGATGAATGATTACGCCCCCGTTGCACATTATTCATTGGTATTATTTGTCTTGAAATCTAATCTCTAACTGAATGAAACCCCAAATCTTTGTACTTGACATTTTTTTTTTCTTTAATTAGTTGATGTGTGACTATACAGTAGGAAGGAGATGCAACATTTTGAGTTATTTTATTGAATGGAGAGTAGGAATTAAATTATAATTAAATTATGAAAGGGGTCATTGCAACTCAAAAAAATCTTTCGAAAAATCTTAAAATTTATAAAAAAATTTATTCTCGTTATGATTTTTTTCCTTTCTTACGCTCTCAAAAAAATTTTTTTCTAATAATACTTTTTTTGAATTCAAAAAAACCTACTAGAACTCCTCTCTCCAGTTTGAACTGGTCATTTCAACCTACACTGGTCTAATATCTTCTCGAAATGAGAGCGAAAAACAGATACTACTAGGTCCGTATTTACCCAAGAGCCTCAAAATTGAGCTGAAGCCTATTAAAACACATATGAAAGAGGCAAGCGTTTTTTGGAGGTCCGCTCAATTAAGAGCCTCCATATTCCGTCGTACTGCACCGGAAATCGCGAACCACCGGCTCCAAGATCTTTGAACTTTTTTGCTAGACTTCTGGATACTTTTTTACTATTGAGGAGCTTTGAAAGCGAAAATGAGGCATAGAAAAAGTGGGAGCAGGTGGAAGGACACACGAGTTCTAAGAAGTTTCGAAGAATGGAAGTTTCTGGGACTTAATCAGGGTGAGACTTTGATAAAAACTGGAAAAATCAAAAGAGCGTCATGCGTTTTTGAACTGAAGAAGAACAAAAATTGGATGAGGCGACATGAAAAAAAAGAAAAATGCTTGAAGAATCGTTGTAAAATAGAAAAAAAAACAGTGCACTGTGAACATTGCAAAATAGGATACCTATCTTGAGAACTTTTTCGGTATTCGAATTGAAAAGAAGAAACTTAGTAACATTTACTATGGCTCAATAACAAAAATTTCTGGTTATCCAGAGTGAAAAACTTCTCGAACTCTCCAGCAAAATTGATGTCATCTACTCACCAAGTAGTACTGTATAGCCGGTGTGCCGGTCCTCTCACATCTGAGGAAGATGTAGACGGAGAAGGCGTTGAGAACGATTCCAGTGACAACGAAAAAGGCTGTCAGGTAGCCGTTGAGCAGGTGCGACAGCATTTGGACGAGCGCCGTGAACAGCGAGGAGTTCTCCTCGTCGACCTCACTGGTGGCGTTCATCGCTGGCGACCACACGCCAGCACTGAAAATCCACAAAATGAAGATTTCTCTCGAGGTTTTTCTAGAGCTCTCCATAAACTTCTTGTTTTTCGAAGGTAAAAGGTTTTCCCAATTTTATTATTAACGTGAAACTCTATAAACATAACAAAAATATCAATCTAGATAAAAAAAGCAAGAAAAAAATAAGAAACTTTTTAAAAGCACATCGTGTATTTTTTCGGAACTTAGAAACAGTAGAATGTTGTGAAAAATTATTTTTCTTATATTTTTTTGAAACATTCGTTATTTTCTGATTTCTGTTATCCTAAAATCTCTCATATGCACGTAAAAAGAAAAAAAAAGAGTACAAAGAAAAAAATGGAAATTTTTTTGGACATGCGGAAAAAAATTCAGACGATTTCTTATTGAAAAAAATGCGAGGTTATCTTTTTTTGAGCCACATTCCCGTTTCACCTCGTTGAGATTGGAATTTTGAGGGCCTCGATTAATTTTTCCAGAATCATTCAGAATTTCAAAGTTTTACCACGAGGGAAAAGTTGGGAAAAAGGCAATTCGAAATCTTGTCTCTTGAAACTTTGAAAAAAAAAATCTCAAAAAAGATAAATTTTTTCTCATAACATTAGTTATATAGACATCAGAAAATTTGACCGCGTTGCACTGGGATCATTAAAAAAGCTGAAATTACCATAAACGTTCTTTGAAACATTAAAAAGAACAATTGAGAATTCAAAGTAGGCGTCTGAATTAGAGAATCAACACCCCTTTATTAGACTAACCACGCCTTCGAAATCATCTTTGTCCTCTAAATACAATAAAATTTTTTGGAGATTCTCCTAAAAATAATGATCTCCGTCTACCAGTAATATCAATTGAAAACCTGTGGTTCTTAGAAAAATGATTGCAAAACAAAAAGAAAAGGGAAATGGCGGAAACCTCAGTTTGAAACATGGTCTTCAAAGATTTGCATTTTTTCTTCTCGACATCAAATGGAAGTCAAGGCTTCTTCTTTGAACGATGACAAATTTTTGAAAAGAATAATTAGATTTAAAATCCAAAGACAGACATCTTTGTTCTACCGCCTACATGAACTTGAGTCAACATGTCCAGCAAAAAAAAAAAACTCGAAAAAGCAAGTTTTTGAGTAAAACTGCGGAGTTTCAAATGAATTGCACAAATTTAGACTAAAGATTTGCTAGTTGATTTTTTGATACTTGAGCCAAAAATGGAAACATGAGTTGAAATGTCGCATCAAAACTTCACTCATGCAAATAACCGAAACAAAAAGAGGCGTCGGAATGGCGAGCTTGAGCCTCTGCAGCCGAAAAAGGGACATAAATCCGTCGGGATCGACGTCGCCGACCTCATATCGCAATGGGTTCGAGGCCAAAAGGTGTTGGAAACACGATAAATGACACCGAAAAAAATTGATTCCTTGCTTTTTGCAGAGTTTGTACTTGTTCTGAGCTTCCGGAGGTTGAAACAGGAAAGTTAGAGTTAGAAGGCCGAAACAAAACATTTTTTTCGAAACACCTTCTTAGAAAATAAATATTTATACTTTTTTTGCAAGTGGATTCTGAAACAGAAAAATTTAGTTTCAAACTTGAGGAACGCATTGTATTTTTTTAATCGCTTATTTATTGAAATTTCGAGAGGCGTTGAAGAGTATGCTAAAAAAAGAAAATCGAACTTATCTTGTTTTGAATCAGAAAAAAACAAATTTTCGACTGATACTAAATTGATAAAGTAGTGAAAATGACAGTTTCATCAAAATATCTACTACATTGATCTTGGAGTCTGAAAATTAAAAACAGAAAAAAAAAACTAAAAATCAATTTTCTAACTGAAATCTAATTATAAAATCAACCTTAATCTCATATCTTGTCGTTACTTTGTGAGGCTATTTTCAGAATTTATGATTTATTGCAGATTATAAGATTTGAAATGAGCTAACAAGAAAATCTAATTATCCCCATACCACTTCATCCGACTAAAAACAGAAATTTGTAGTCTGATGCTCCAAAATGTACGAAATTTTCAAACCTATCGCAAATATTGCAATCTGCTTTTGACAGGTGCTTGTTTTCTCCTACTGAAACGGCAAACATATTTATATCCTTCAAAGGTTGATCATTTATTCGGAAATGACGAGGGCTTTGAAACGTAAAGATGTGACAAATTGTGCTCTTTTGGACCAGTAATCTTTATTCTTAGCGATTTCTTCGAAAAAAAAAACTCAGGAAAAAAAAATTTGCAATTGGGAGTGGTCGAAAGAGCTGGACATTTTTTGAAGCTTCGCGAGTTTCAAGGCCGCGCCGCCCACTGCCGTTGCAGAAACAGCAAACTTCTCGGATATTCAAAAATCCGAGTAGATCTTTATTAGCAAGGGGAAATATTAGTAATTGCATGATTTTTGGTTTTTTTTTTTTGCAAATTGAGTCAAAAAGTTTGGTTAATTAGCGAGACTGACTCACGCAGTTGAGATTATGCTAGCCCAATGTTTTTTAGAAGCTTCAACTCTGGAAAAAAGACTGAGGAAAAGGTTTACAAAATCCGGCGTTTAAAAATTAGAGGAAAAGGCTCTCGTGGGTGGCGTGAGCAGTTTGAAGTGGGAATTTTTGAACATGTTGGCTTTTTAGCTCTTCAAAAAATAACAGCCTTGGTGTAAGAAGAGAAAAAATTTGCCTCATCAAAATACCCTTTCTTTGTCGTAATGATGGAAGCGAACAATAGACTTTCCTAAACTCCCTGGAGGCCTATAATATTTTTGAAAGTTCAGTTCTTTCTGTGCTTTTTATAGCTCTCAGGCAAGTTGAATCAAGTTTTCCAGGGCTTGGAACGCTATGGAGTCTTGAAATATTGAATTGACCAGCGTTTTCTTTTTTAGAGGGTCCGACACTAAACTACTTGCGCGTGCTGGCATTCTCAAACAACAACTGCTCAAAATGATAAGTACTGAAATCAAAATACCGCTTTTTGATCCCTCATAAATCTTTGTCAGAGCTGTTCAGCTCTGATAGCCCTCTAAATCGATTATACCAACCTGATATTTAGCAGAGGATCTTCAAGAATATCCATTGAATTGTAAAGCTGGGAGCTCTAGACAGACTTGGGATGAGAACTTGAAAAAGAAAGGCTTCTGAGGCAAACAACTAAAAACGTGAGGCTTGTTTCTATAATAACAAACTTTTTTAGAAATCCAAAATCACGAGCAAAACTTCGCAGTCAAGTGCTTTTTTCACTGAACTTCCGAACAATTTGCTGATAATTTTGTAATTGTTAGATATCACAAATCAAGTGGCATGATATGCAAAAGAACAACTTCTGGAAATGTTTTCAACAAATCAAATGACTAGGATTCATGTCGGAAGAAAAAGTGGAAGATCTGGAAAACAACTTGATTTCTTCCTGAAAAGTGTGGGAAAAGAACACGGGGAAGTGTCCAAAACATTCGTCTGCACTAATATTCCACTCGCACAGAGGCGTCAAGGCTACTTTTCAACTGAATAAGTGGAATTGTGCCAATCGCCTCCACCAAAATTCACGTGGAGGCGAATTTTTTGAACAAAACAGTATAGTACGAAGAAAATTTTTGTCCGTTTTTTGATGGGAGGGAAAGGGAAAATGACGTATTTGTAGCTTGTTCATTAGGAAAAAATTAGTGAAAAGGAAAATTTAGCGGAGTTTACTTCATAAACGTATAATAAACCTTGTACTTGTTTTGCGCAAAACTACCGAAGATTGCTGTTTCTTAGACCAATCAAAGAAATTAATCGAGAATATGTGTTTAGAATAATATCTTCAACGAGAAAGCGATCAAGAATCCGAAAAATTTCAAGAAATCGTTTTCTAATTTTTTTACACAACACTGAACGCTCAAAGATCTCCGTTCCTGACTTTTTTTAATAAGATAAAAAGGTCAGAAAAAGAGCTTTTTAGCCTTCTCATCAAGAAAATGTAGTAAGATCAAAAATTCAACAATTTTTGTTTCTTCACGGAAAAAGTTTTTGAATTATTCCAGCGCGGCAAGAACGCCCAGATTCATGGAATTGGAATTATTTATTCGCAAATGACAAATTGAGAATTTTCGAAGAAGCTCAACTCTGATCTGATTTTTGAGAAGTTGAGAAGAATTATTTTATTTGTGAAGTGAGATATGTTACCGTAGTCTTGTGAAAAAATTTTGATCTGGGAAAAAAGAAAGTTGAAACAGAGAACTGGAAAAAAACATAATATTACAAACTGGAGATCCCCCGATCTTTTGGTGCATCAAAAAAATGAGCCGGGAAATCAAAAATATACACAATTTTGTTTTTTGAGAAAAAGATGCTTCAAAGTTCTATATTGTTGCACAATGTCGAGGATTGTGACCTTTGAGGCATCCGTTTCCCAAAAAAAGGAAGTTGTGCAGGTTTCTATTTTCAGGATGTTTATCTAGAACATCAGAGAGTACTCGAACAAGTTTTGAAAAGTTTCCAGAGGGCAAAAAGAGAAGATCTTTTCTATTAGGAAAGTTATTGATTCTGGGAGGACGGTGAGGAAAAAGTTCCAGAAAAATCCAATTCCTCATCCCACTCTGTCAATCTCAGACTTCCGGTAACCTCACTGAACGCCTAGCTTCTTGTTGGTTTTTGTTATTTGATACTTGTCAAACTCGAATAAATGTGCTCCTGGGCAATTTTTTATAAGCAAAAAAAAGTTGTGACTAAAGCACCTGAGCGGGTTTTCGGTTACTAATTAGCTACGGGTTCAAAAAGTTTAGAAAAGATTTGTTCTATTTTCTGCTCGATAATCATAATCTCATCAGAATCTCACGCCTTAAAAGAAAAAAGAGCTCACCACTCCGGCCAGAAGCACAGAATTAGAATGAGACGTTTTCTCACTCACAAAGGAAAAAAAAATGAGACTACAGTATCCATTACCTGGTCATTTCCGTCTTGATTTATCAGTAATTATAAGTATTTTTCCAAAGCGTGAATAAGATAATTGTATTAGAGTGTGATGTAGAAGGAACTTTTACGTTTTGAGTAGCGTAATTATCCAGAAAACGACGGGATAATTGACTTTTGAGCTCAAAATGGTCAAGTTTTAGAAAATGACAATGGCTATTGAAAACGTTTGCCAAAGTTCATCACCACTAGAAGAGTAGGCGTTCAATTAAAAAAAGGATAGAACATTTTGAAACTAGGAGAAAAATGATTGTTTTTTGAGCTTGAGCCAATCGAGTTCTTATGGGAAATTTGATTTTTGAAGACCCCAGTAAAGTTTGTGACTACGAAGAAACTCAGCTTGAGATAACCTGCTGATTATAAAAATTCAAGAGTACTCTGAAAACCATCAAGGGGGAAAAATGTTTCCAGCTTGAAAGTTTCAGAATACCAAGAGCACTTAAAAAATATTTCGGACGTTGGGAACTTCAAAAAAAGTATTAATTATGGGAAAACTCGGTGGTAAACCAACGTATGATTAAAAGTTTTCAGAGAAAAGGTTGAAGTACACGGCTTCTCAGCTCAAACTCCTCAGGTTTTCGTAAGAACTTGGAAAAAAACGCGACTATCGAAGGCACTAGCAGAGTTTATAACCACGAAAAGGCTAGGTGTCAGACTAACTAATGATTATGGTGCTTCTGAAAAGATGTAAAACTTCGGAAATGACCAAAAACCGGCTCAGGAAACATGGCAATAAATTTGGCCAAATTCGGAACATGCAAGTGACACCTGCGGGGGCATCCTTTTTACGTCGTTCGCGTTTGTTTTGGGAAAGAAAACAGCTTCGTTCTCGTTTCCTGACAACTCGAGAACGAACCTTTTTTCGGTCAGAACTTTAGGTGGGTGTTCTTGTTTACGAGCCTATTTCGAGGAAAGCAACGCAATAGGGCACTATTCCTTTCATAAATCAACCAATTCAGTCAATTCATATGGGACGAAGCGTTGGAAAACAATTTCGCGAGAAACTCGGAAACAACTGTGAACGCAAAAGCCTTGATTAAATGTCGAAGCGTTCAATTTTTTGATTTGTGTGTGCAGAAAATTATGGGCTTCTAGATTTACGTTGATGGAAAACACAGATTGAGGTATGTTAAACGCCATGATTTTTTTTTAACTTTTAGGGGAAATTTTTTGCTTCAACTGTTTTTGAGACTTGGTTGATTTATAGCCGGCTCTTACGGTACCTTTAGAAAGGGATTTTCTCGTGAAGGAATATTCGAAAAAGAACAACTTTTAAGCTCCGTTACTCCGATCAAATTTGAAACCTGGCTCAAAATGTTGAGAAAAAGTTTCGAATGCCCTTCTTGGAGCTTTCGAGAAACCGGAAAGCTAATGGAGCAGTTCCCGCTTTTTTACAAATACTTACTGTAACAAACTAAATGTAAAACGCACCTGACCACGGGACTTGGCAACATTTGCGGAAAAGAACAATGTTGCCAAGGCTGATGGGATAATTCCGGGCCATGAAACTACGCGTTCCGACACTTTTGACATGGTTATAACTGGCGTTTTTCTCAGCGTAACCGAGGCTATTTGAAATGATTACAGCAGCCGTCAGGCTCCAACTTCCTCGTCAAAAAGGTTTCCTTACCTGCAGAGACAGACTAGAAAAATGTCTTGAACAACAACATGAAGCTGTAGTTAAACTCATGAGAAGTTCGGACAATTTTGAATTTGTTCCATTTTTTCTCAAAAAAAAGATAGGAAGCTCATGTCGGTCTTCAAAAAGCTTTAATGATGGATCCCGAATTTCTTCAAAAAAAGAAAAAGAAATTTTAGTTATTTGACTAAAAAAACGATGGTTATCACAATCTCTCAAGGCTAGAAATTTCAGAAAAAGATTCAATTGAAGAACTTTGATCATTGTTATATTCTTGTCTTGGAAAAAGATTTTTCCTTGTGAGATAGCCACCAGAGTGTTCAGACGAAAGTCGGAGGAAGTTTTTCACTTAGGAAATAAATAAATCATTTAATTTTTGGCAACTTGGACTAGCTATTTTCGAAAAAAAGCTGATTTTGTTCATAAAAATTATTTCAATAAACCTGAAACGTTGAATTTTTTTCAAATTTTGAATGATTCGTTATTTTAATAATATTCAAAAAAATTTTTTTGAGGTAAATATTGACTTCTGAGACTAAAAAGCCTTCACTCTTTGTCAATCTCAGTTTTTTTCATGAGAAAAAAACAATTTACATGGTTAATCATAGGAAATACGGCTTTTTTTGTTTTCTCGTTAGTGTTCTCAATTTTTCGAAAGTATTAGTTGGCCAAAAAGCAAATTTCTTTCCACAAACCTTGGATGCATCTTCGTCACTGGGGCCAAAGTTGATGAAAATGACAACCAAGAGAAAAATTCTCTGAAAACTTTGCTGAGCACTGGAGAGATAAAATTGTCGAATCGGAAAACGAGCGGCGTAATGGATGAATGAGAAATGTCAAAAAGAACTTATTAGTCGAAAAAAATGGGCCTGATCTTTAAAATAACGAGAAATTGGATCAAAGTAATTTTTAAACACTTTTTGTTTTTTCAGGCTTTTCGCAACTCTTGAGATGAAAAGAATAAGAGAAAAAGAAGAATTAATCTTCGAATTTTCCTGCGACGCGGATTTTGAGAACTCCTACAGAAAGCAGAAGAATTACGATTTTTGAAATAAGATCAGTTTTCCGAAGCGAAGGACGATAATGAAGGGATTCTTTCCTGCAAAACCTCTTTTGAGGTTTCCGTACTTTTCAAAGAACTAACTGGATTTCGGAAAAAGGATTCTCATCTCATGACCACACTGGAACAAAAGGTGGTGACTAGACCAACTAATCCCAGAAGTAAATGGGAGAAAAAGAGGAATGACTGGGAGTTCTACCAAACGTTCATGGGATTTTCTCACCTTTTTTCGGTTTGTTCCGGAAAATTCCAGGTTCAGAATCTGGGCTTCGACGGAGGGGAAAGATAAACTGCACAAGTGCAAACAGCCCATTCCAATGGGCCAAAACACGTGAAGGTTGAGGTTGACGTCGTTCTCAATTTCATTCGAAGCAGGGGCCATCAATCAAAAGACAAAAAGACAAGGGCAACTTTTCCATAAGCTTGGTGGGAGAGCAGAGGAAAAAAAGTGATTTTTGTCATACACGTCAACATGTTTAATCGTTTTCGGTTTCATATTAGCATAACCAGAAAACAAAGGTGTTCAAAAAGAAGAATTTCGAGTATACTAACCTCTTTCGAGATCTGCTATAAAGTTCCTTAAAAAGTTGGGAAAGCATGGCGAAATGGAAGTATTCTTATGAATTTTGAGAGATCAAATTACTTCTCATGAAAGTTCTCAAAATTTAATTTCGTTCTCAAACCTTGAAAATAGTCCTTAAAAAGGCAATAACATAGTCGAAACGCCTAGATTTTCAAATTTGGTTGCATTTGAAATGACTAACACCTAAATTCTTGAAAAGTGAAACTATAACAATGCGCTCGACTATGAAGCGACTTGCGCTGATCTTTGAAGTTTCACGATCGATAACATTTTTCGAAAGAATGAATTTTTTTACCTTTTATAGCAAACTTTTTATATAAATTGGATCACCTGACGAAATTTTTTTCCAAAATGACAAATTTAAAAAAACTCTGAAGATCGATAGGTTCCCTGTTTCAAAAAGTCTTCTAATATTAGAAAAAGCATTTTTTTGATCACTTGATTACACCTGCATTTGGCAAACTTTCAGAAGGTGGGAAAAAGAGTATCTGAACTATTGAAAATTTTACTGAAGTTTTCGTGATCTCTAACATAAGCCGGATTAATCAGACGGAGCCGAAAAATTCGGGTTCTCTTTTTTTCAAAAGTTCTTTAACAGCTGACTCATGGATGAAGTTAAGGAAACTCGAAAAAAATCTATGAGAATCTCAAGAAAGGCAGGCGGAAGTATATAACATCTATTCTACTTTTTCAGTAGAAAAGTGAGTAACCCAATTACCTGAATCAGGATTTTATTTGAGAATAGGTACTGATAATGAGAAAAAAACAACGGTTGATTAGTGAGGCTCATTATTTTTTATTTGTAATGTGGTAATGGAACGCCAATTAAAATTGTATAGAAGTATGATTAGATTGGATGGGTAATTCTTTTGGATCAAAAAGATCAGATTAATTGTACATGCTATAAAAACTATTGGTCACGCGGGGAATGGCTGTACGCAGAAAAAGTCACAGTTTGTTTCTGAAGAGGCGTCCGACCTTAAACTGACTTGCACGCGAAATTTTGGTTCGGCCATAAAAAATCGTGATTCAAAGCTATAGCATAAAAAAATAAAGTTTGCAAAAAAATACCAGATGAAAGTGTGGTTTTTCTCTGTTTTTTTGATTGAGACTCTCCGAGAAAAAGTTCAGACAATTTTTTTCAAGCGTTTCCACGTGAATTAATCAAATCTCTCGCGTTTGAATTTTAAAAATGGAAACCGAAGAACTTCGAGAAGATTTGTTCTAACTTCGAGTTCGCACTTGAGGAAAATATTTTTTTGTCGGTCCAGTCTGATACTTCATAAGGATTCAAAATGATCGTACTGAAATTTCGATTTTTTTATTTCTTCGAAGCAATCAACCTTATTGAATTCTGAGAAAGAAAAAAACGACAGCGTAGAATTTTTTTAAAAAAATTATTTGACTTGATCTTCGTTCTTTACTGAAATTTCAACTTCTCATAATTGGATTACCAACAACGAATGATAAATCACGATTTATCTTATAGAAGGTCAGTCCAATGAAATGAAATTAAGTTACAGTAGTCGTCCTTTTGAAAATTACGAGGGGTGAATAACATTTACGCGATAACGAGCAAGTGCAAAAAGAGTAAAGAACTTGTTTCCCTCGAAAGTTCGCCGGAAAATACCGCGGGATTCAAATATCAGCTAATTTTTGGTTAAGAGTTGTCCTCTTTGTCCACGATTGGACGACAAAATCACCATGTGGTTTGAAAAACTACGTCTGGTGATATCAAACTACAAACGTTATGTAAGATTTGAAACAGAGATTCGAACAAAACCCATTCAAAACACTTTTGATCAGAATATTTCGAGCCAAACTGAAACTTTTTTTTTGCTTATTTCTGTTGCACAGGAAGAAAATAAAGCCTCAAGGAAAAGTAAGAAAAAGCCCAGAATCAACAACGGCTGACAAAAGAAAAAACCTATTGTCTTTCATCAGATTCTCGTGGCCCTCGATCAAATGACCTTTTACGTCAGATCCGCTGTTTGCGTACCTGACGCCACAATCAACGACAATTATTTGCTCTGTTCGAAAATGTTTCATTCAATCATTGTTTTTTTTTTTTTGATTCCAAATTGTTCACTTCAAAAGCAGTCTTTCATGAAATTGCAAAGAGCGTTCAGAGAATGTTTATTTTTGACTTTGTTCTGGGTATTTCTGACATTTCTATAGCGCAAATGCCATTAATTAACCGCCGCCAGCAGGAAAATATTCAGTATACATTTTTCTGACATTTTCCCTGGAAAACGGCACAACTCAATTTTCAGGCCTTTGTGGAAAGAGCGGCGGTTTATTTATATCGGTGTAAGTGGGCACTAAGAGCAAATTCCTAACGGCTCTACCTTTGGTAATAAATAACTCGCGGAGCAAGCGAGAAGGGTTTCACATTTGACGCAGAAAGAAAATTCAAAAGGCGCATGAAAAAAGGCCGTAAAGCCCCAAATAAAGCCGAATCCTGAGGGGATGATGTATGTGAAAAGACTAGATCAAAAATGAAAACGATTGAAGCCGCGGAAAGGCGAAAACAAGTGAAAGAGAACCTAAATGTGGGAGTTGAAAATTTCGGCTCAAATCAGTTGGCTTCTGGCACGAATTTCTTGTAAATACCCAGTTCAATTCTTGGAAAACACGAAACAGCAAACTGATATTAAAATAATGAAGCCACTTCCCTGCACAAAAAACTAGCAAGGAACGCCCTTTGCGAAGAACGCAATTATCATTTTTTCACTCAAGTGTAGGTCTCAAATTATGTTCTGCGAAAAAGCTCATTTATAGTTTGAGGGCGTCAATTATCAAAAATAAGATTGAGATCGAAAACTCCTACGTCATAACATGAAAATGAGTCACAGAAAAGAAAGAAGGAGACAAGTTGAACATCTTCGTTGCTCCGGTGGCTCAGGATCCTATTTCGTCGCTTTTTTGCGTTTGTTTTAATTAAAGACTTGAGAACGACGCGCAAAAAGTGATCTGTGAGTTTTAGTTTTTTCTGGACACTGTATGGGATATTTTTTGTCAAGAACGGCTTGAAAAAAATTAACCAGGAAAAACTTAGGATGTAACCTTTATCCTTCTAAATAGCAAAAAATCATAGCCTTCCTGAAGTTTTCGTTAAGTTTGATCACAGCGCAGAAGGTTGATTGACTTGAAAAACAGAGAAAAAACTTTCAACAAGAATCCGTAAAAAAAATAATGCTGGTAAACCAGGTGCTAGGCTTTCTGAACTTTTTAAAGAAACTGGGTGTCCCCATAAAAATGAAACGTGAAACTTAGAAATAGGCTTTATGACCATTTTGAACTATTTATTGAAATTCTGTTGTTGAATTGAAAAATTTCAAAAAGTGTCAAAAACTATTAAAAACTTTTTTCAGTTGTAGTTTCGTTAGAAACACTTCACATTCGTCAACTTGAAGCAAAAAACAAGATTTGAAGATTCATTCTTGACGAAATAGACTCATTCCAAAGAAATTTCTGGACCTTACAAAAAGAAAAAGGGAAAAAAACAACCCATTTTGCTGTTTTCTCAGAAGAGAAAAATGAGAAACTTGAATTTTTCCGACCAAAACGAGAGCTTCCAACTGGATTACATACCAGAAAAGCTTGAAAAACTTTTTCAGGCTCTATAATTTAAAACTTTGTCATCAAACCGCAGAGTAGACCAACTGGTAATTTCGAATCTCTGTTATATGAGCATTGGAACAAAATTTCCACAGTAGGCGTAGAAACAGTAGTTTCATGTTCTTTTCGTAGCGTTTTTTTCTTGTCTGAGTAAGAAATTTTCTGCCGAAAAAAATGATTATAAAAAGTCTGATTAGATTTTTTTGTCTACTGCGGTTAGTTTTTTTTCACAGATTTCATTATGATTTCTGTTCGACGTTTTTTTCAGTTTTTATTGCTTTTACGGAAAAACTAATTTGACAGAAAAATTTTTCAATTTGAGTCACTAATCTTGAAAAAAATTCTTTTTTTCGTAATACTTTTTTTGAGATAAAAAAACTCTTTTTGAACTAAATATTCAACCTTTTTTTCTACATTGCTGCTGCATGAAAAACCAGCTTTT